TGGGCGTGACAGGGGCGGGGCCAAGTGGGCTTGGGCGGGGCCGGATGCGCGGGAGATTTGAACTTCCTCTCTGCGCCAGCGAGGTCCCGCGCAGAGCTTCAGGTGCACAGCGGCTTTCTCCGCAGGGCCCTGCAGCTAGTGAGCCACAGTGCCGACCGGGAGATGGTGGAAGGACCAGGCTGTACTCTAAATGGAGAGAAAATTCGGGCGCGAGTGCGCCCGGGCCAGGCGGTGACGGACTTGCGGGGGAGCGCCTTGCAGAGCCTGGGTGTGGTCTCTTCCCAGGTGAGCCGTTAATATAATTTGCTATGGGGCCAGCAGGGGGAAGTGGCATAAAGACCCCATTAGGTTTCCAGGGCCCAAAGTGTCATCTCTTTGCTCTGGAACAGACTCGCTGGGGCTCCGCGTTTCCCAGACTTTAACTTGATTTTGCTGGTGGAAGGCCGTGCTCGCGCGCCTGCGTTGTAGGGACTACTGGACCGCTGCGCGAAGGCCACCAGAGAGAGCTGCCCAGGCAAGAAGTGATGGAGATGTTTCATTAAGAATCACCTTGCTTAACTTTTTACAACCCTCCAAAAGATGGTCTCTGTATAGCTATAGGTGCGTTTTCTGCTGTCAGTATTATCAGATCTCTACATTTTTTTCGCGTGGTTAAAACAATAAGCTTCTAGCACGAAACTCTCGCTTCTCGCTTGCCTGCTATTCTGCAGTTGAGAAGTGTATCACAACTAACATATAATTCTAAAATTGCGTATAGAAAATTTAGCCCTGACCCTCCCACTCAACTTAATATTGCCATCTAATGAAGGGGCTGTGAAACCCAATTCTGGTTCCCTTAAGTGAATTTCTTTCTTTTTCAAATAAATTGTAGCACAGCTTCTGGCCACTCAAGGCATTCATTGCAGATGGTGTGATATTCATTTGGTAAGAATTTATAACTTGTACTAAAAATATTCTGATTAAGCCGTCATGCTTTAAAAGCCCTTTAGATGTGTGGATGATTGTATTTCACGGATGTATGCAATATTATAGTGCATTCATTTCTCCTGCAAAGCTTCCTCCTAGCCTTTGGTCCAGGAAGAAAAGTTGCTTGCTATGAAATTAGCATACGCTTACAACTTGAAAGAAATGAGGCTCTCGGTCTGGGGAAATACATTTTCAAACTTGGAAAGAGAATAAGTTTTGTATGTTCTTCCATTTGTCCTTGTATTTTATTCCTTTTAACTTTATATGTCCTTAAGTGCTCCGCATTAAGCATTAAGTGCTCTTACTGTTTTTAGTGTAGTGTTTCTCAAAATCATGTCAGGGTAACTCGGGTTGATCTTGGGTGAACTCTCAGTAATATCAAGGTTTATAAAAATCACGCATTCCACAAAATTCCGAATATGAAAATCACCTGGGGAACAAAAACAAACGCTTCCCCTTGTGGAGCCTACACTTTAGTTGGGAAGATACACGGGCAGTCGTTAAGGAAGAACGTAAATATAAATTGGTCAATTCCCTGAGGGCTTTCTTGTATGGTTCTGTAAGAGCTCAGGAAAGTCACGAAAGGCTTGGGTGGGGAAGTACAATTACACTCAGTTGTGGAAGTTTGGCAGGGAGAACAACTTCAGGCAGAGCGTTCGCAAAGGAAGAGAGCTTCAGACATTGGAGAGATTGGAAGAAAGCCATTGTGACTGGAAAAGGGAGAAAGAGCTAGAAGGAAGGCCATTTGAAATAAAACAGAGTTGGAGTTGCTGGGCAGGAGCCAGACCATGGAGATGTTCGTAGACTTGGTTAGGGACTTTGTATTTATCTTAGGAGTAATGGGGGTCTTCAGAGTGTGGTGAGATCTACTCACACTTTGGAAAGATCACTCACCTTGAAAAGGAAAAACGAAAGACTGGAGGAAAGTCCAAGTAGATCCTGCAGCCTCCCTTAGGAGAGGGCCACAGGAATCCAGGGGCGCGGGGAGGGGGGTGGGGGGGGCTGGTGGTAGAGGTGAAGAGGAAGGGACAGAGTCGCTATTTCACAAGTAAAGGCAGTAACATGAATTGTGTATGGGTACCATGATTTACATATTCAGCAGTAATGTATTTCATGTTAGGTTTTATGCTAGCTCCTGGGGATGCAAAGACGAGTAAGATAAAGTTCCTGCTGTGAGAATCCAACTTAATGTTTTAAATAGATATCACCTCATTGGTATTTAGGCCAAAATAGCATGAACATTTCCTTTAAGTTTGTTGTGATTATCTCTAGTGGCAAGGCATAAAGTGCCTTTGAAGAACGTTTATGTTTCATGTAGCTGAGAGAAATAATAACCCTATGATTCTACAGTTGAGGGATGTGAGATTCAGAGTGAGTTTAATTAAATGGCACAAGATCACATGACTGGTAAGGGGTTGAACCTCAGGGTTTGATCTCCCTCTTTCCCTCCACAGCTGATTCTCTTAGCTCTAGCTTTTCTCCGTTGTAAAAGATTCAGTAGGGAAAGTGGCCAATTCAGCGGCAGGAACACCATATTTCTTAAAATGTAGTACTGACTAATTAACTAGGAAAGTGAGACCTTGGGTTTTTGGTGGCATCTCCCCACAATTTGTAGTTTTGTTTACCTATGCTGTTTGTTTAGCTAGTTTTGTTTACCTTCGATTTACCTACACTGATAATTCTCTTCTGAGGGCTTCCCGTCCTACATCCAGATCGAACAAGAGAGTGCAGCCTCATACTATAACACGAATGCTTCATGAATTGTTGGGCATTTGTTAACATCAGTTGGCAGCAATATGAAATAAGCAGTACCTCTTAAAAAGCTGTGCACTTAAAGCTGTTAAACATATCTTGACATAAGGAGGTGTTAACAATTGGAATACATCATTATGATTGGGATCAAAAATCTGGTTTGATGGGAGCTGGATTTGAAAATTAATATGGAGGGGCGCCTGGGTGGCGCAGTCGGTTAAGCGTCCGACTTCAGCCAGGTCACCATCTCGTGGTCCGTGAGTTCGAGCCCCGCGTCAGGCGCTGGGCTGATGGCTCAGAGCCTGGAGCCTGTTTCCGATTCTGTGTCTCCCTCTCTCTCTGCCCCCTCCCCCATTCATGCTCTGTCTCTCTCTGTCCCAAAAATAAATAAACGTTGAAAAAAAAAATTAAAAAAAAAAAAGAAAATTAATATGGAATTAATAATCTCTTTGTGGTTATTGAGAGAGTTGTAAATATTTTGCCATCGTTTCACTTGCTGGGCCTTTGATCATATAATAATAGCAACAATAATAATCTTTATAAACATCAAAAGTCTCTTGCATTTTAGAGGGTTGTTGGATCCATGGTAAATTTAATCAAAACGTGGTAGGTTGTCCCCAGACTTCCAGAATGCTCATTACCATTACCGATGATCCCACGTTTCCCAGGCATTGATGGCATGGAATTAAAGGTATTAAAGGTATTCAGATGCTACTAGTTTTCGCAAGGCAGAGTTTAAAAATAAATTAACAACAGCCTTGTGTATTCTTTACATTGTACTAAACATGCGAAAATACAAAGGAGAGTTAAATATTAACCGGGCATTTAAAATAATGGGCATTTGGGGCGCCTGGGTGGCGCAGTCGGTTAAGCGTCCGACTTCAGCCAGGTCACGATCTCGCGGTCCGTGAGTTCGAGCCCCGCGTCAGGCTCTGGGCTGATGGCTCAGAGCCTGGAGCCTGTTTCCGATTCTGTGTCTCCCTCTCTCTCTGCCCCTCCCCCGTTCATGCTCTGTCTCTCTCTGTCCCAAAAATAAATAAAACGTTGAAAAAAAATTTTTTTTTAAATAAAATAATGGGCATTTAAAAGAATTCAGATAATCGTTGTACTGAAAAACCACCCCCAACCCCCCACCTATGTAGCTACTGCCATTTTGAACCAGTTAAGCCTGTCGTATGATGTTCCCTCCTCCTTGCTTCAGTTTGGAGTTCACAGAGAACACACTTTAATGTGTGTCTCCTTGTGACAGCCCATCCTCATTTTGAAGAAGAAAGCCTAGCCATACAAGATCTCAGCATCTGCAATTCGTGTATGCATTATATTATTTTTCCGAATTTTGATCCACTGTCTTGTCAGCATAAAATTAGGCGACTGTATAAGCACGTTGCATAAAAATTGTGCTGGAGCTCCTGGAACCGTATGGTAAGAAACCGTGTTGGAATATCAGTGACCATTTCTGCTTGACGAGCTGTGAAGAGTCAATCCTCCCATTTTAATTGTTGGGTGGGTACAATATTTTAGTCAAGTCGGTATGTAATCTGCATATGTTTTTAATCTCCTTTCCCGAAACTGGATCTGAAACCCAGTTTATTTGCAAGCATTCCTTTCATTTGAAACGTGACCCTCTGGCTGGTCTGTCACTCCTTATGATTTGATACATGTATTCAGTATGCTGGCGAATGTTGTTCATCTTTTTTTGTGTCCTTCACAGTGTTGTGAAGAGAGTAGGCATTTAGTAAACATTTACATGGATGGAGAAGAGCAAAGTTTTGAATAGTCCAAAATGCATAAGGATTTAAAACTAAATTTAGTTCGGAATCTGGGGCGCCTGGGTGGCGCAGTCGGTTAAGCGTCCGACTTCAGCCAGGTCATGATCTCGCGGTCGTGAGTTCGAGCCCCGCGTCAGGCTCTGGGCTGATGGCTCAGAGCCTGGAGGCTGTTTCCGATTCTGTGTCTCCCTCTCTCTCTGCCCCTCCCCCGTTCATGCTCTGTCTCTCTCTGTCCCAAAGATAAATAAACGTTGAAAAAAAAAATAAAACTAAATTTAGTTCGGAATCTTTTGTTATGAGTATGTGTATCTTGTTATGTTTGTTACTTGGAAATTCCTATCACAAAATACTGGAGACGTTGACTAAAAGATTTCCTTCTTCCTTTTGTTCATAGTGGGGAGAAAAATCATAGCTTGTTTTATTGTCATTGTATGAAGGGATGAGCTAATCCACAGAGATTCATTTCCTAGCTAGATGAGCTTATTCCTTTAAGTCCAAAAGGGTTTTAAAATTTTATACAACATGCAACGTAATACTTAGCTGGCCGGGGAGATACCATGATCGGGAACATGCATGATATGATTCCTTCCCTTAAGTACATACTAATGGTTCCTTAATGACTGAGGATCATTATTATAAGCATATTCAGCATTATGTGGAATCATGGAATCAAAGATAATGGAGAACAGGTAACAATCTTACAGGTGAGCAGGCTAAGGAAGGTGATTGTCCGTGACCATTGTGGCTTAATCAGTGCAATCCGACACTGAAGTATTTGGTTTGAGGTAGAGAAAAGAA